GCCTGTCATTCTCTGCAGAGGGGGTCGAGGTCCTGGGAAGGCCCCTGTGAGGTGGGCTGGGGGCAGAACATCACCTGAGGCCAGGCCACCCTCTGCCCAGGCCCTTCCCGGGTTGCACCGCCCTCCCCAGCCCCCAAACAACAAAAACTCAGAAGCACACCCAGGCCGCACTGAAATGGGACATGTATCATCAGGAAACCACAGAACTCCACAGCCCAGCACTGTAGGCACAGGCTTCTCTCCGGGGCTCAGAGGAAATGGAGAGCCCCAGACTGGAAGAGTGTGCAGGGCACAGGCACCCTCCCCGGGGCCAGGTCAGGCCTGAGCAGTGTGAGGCTGGGACTTCAGTCTGTGCCCAGGTCCTGGTCACCTGCAGGCAGGTTCAGGGACCTCTGACTCTGGCCATCAGGCCCTGAGAAGGGTGTGTGGACAGAACTTTCCTAGACACTGAAGCACTGAGCAAAAGGTCCTGCGGTGACTGGCCTGACAGGGCCCAGGGAAGCAGGCAGGGCAAGTGTTGATGCTGCTGACTCCGAAAGGTAATGACCGCAGTGGCCACTGTCCCCTGGGAGCTGGAGGGGAAGTTGTTTTTCCACTACTTTTGGAAATGGAGGTTCAGGGGAGCCTGCCCATCATCACATGGTTCATACGGGACTAAACCAGAGATCAAGTCCAGGTCTGCCGATCCCCAAGTCTGTGATCCGCACTGTGGTGCCAAGGACAGAATGATGGCTGACAGTGGACAGTCTCAAGGGCTCCGCGCCACCAACTCTGCCCAGTGCCAACACCCAGCTCACTCATTTATTCCTCCAGCCAGCCCATCATGGACGGTGGACTCAACAACCGTTTGTGGAGCGCATACTAGGGGGCCTGAAGTCTGGTGGGCAAACCGTCAGACGCCAGTCCTGCCCTCAGGTAACTTCCAGACAGTGGGGCTCGGGGCTCGGGTGACTGGATCCAAGGAGTCTTGGCCTCCCTGCCAGTCCCCGGGACCAAAACACATCCTGGAGCAGTGTCCCCGCCCTGCCATCTCTCTCCTGCCCTTTGGGCAGGTATCTGAGGGCTGAGTGAAGTTTATTAACTTCATGGACAGCACGTGATCCACAGACAGGAGCCCTGAAACAACGTTTCCTTTCAAGCAGAGGACATGGTGCAGGCTGGGCAGTGCATGGCATGCACTTGGTTACTGATTGACCGGCCTTCCCAAAAGGAAAGAATCTCCACAGCCCGGCTCTGGGCCTAGGAGCCTCTGCTTGGCCTGCTGTGTCTCTTCACTTGCCAGCAGGCCCATTGTTTTCAGGCAGAGGGAGCAAGTGTGGGTTTGTAAGGGTGTGGACCCAGCTGGTCTCTGGGAGCAGTTACCCTGAGTCCAGGAGGGAGCCCAGGGGCAGGTTATAATGCTCCCTCTCACGTCTGCCTCTTAGAAAGCCAAAGCCCCTGACATCGGAGATGAAACTTAGAATGTTTGTCCCATATGTGTTTTTCCCACTGCAAAGTCCAGAAACAGACAAAAACCTTCCCGAGGTCACGCAGTGGGCCCGGACAAGCTTCCAGGAAAGCCGGCTCTCTCCTCCCCCGGGGTGTTCTGTGCTGAGCCACAGTGAAAGTAATGGGGCCGCAAACTTCTGCCCCGGCTCAGAACTTCCCCTTCTTCGACCTCCCTCTGGCTGTGCTCACTTGGGAAATCCCTCTGGGTGACACCAAGGAAGTCCTTGGGGGGGTCACACCGGGAATTTCTTGAAAAGGAAATAAGTTTGCAGATCTAGAGACGAACAGCACCCAGGAGCAACTGTGGCCTCCTGGGGTTGGGGTGGGGCTGTGGGGCACCACTCAGGGCCAGAGCAAGGAGGGAAATAAATAGGGGTCCCCAGTCTGGGATGGTCCTCTGCAGACAGCAGTCTGAAACTCAAGCAGTTTCATTCCGAGGCTGGGACCCGGGGCTCCTGCAGGGCTCAACCTTGCCTCAGTGCTGCCCCCTATTGGCCTGGCTCTGCAGCCGAGGCCCGATCCGTCTTCCCACTGACAGCTGCTCTGGGCAGGCGCTGCGGGGCGGCTGATGAAGAATGGGCCATGGCGAGGAGCAGGTCAGCCACGCGCCCACCAGAGGCCACAGCTGAACCGTGGTCAGAGCTCAGCGACCTCGGGCCGTGTGCCCCAGAGCGAGGAGGAGGAGAACTGAGGGAATGACTCAACGCACCCCTCTGCCCAGGGAGCCCCACTGCTTTTGTTAGGATCAGCAGAGTCACTCAAGGCGAGTTCTTTGCGGGCACCTATTCCTGCTCAGTTAAGGAGCACTCAGGACAACTGGAGCAGGGACCCAAAACACTGAGAAAAATCGGAGGCCCATGCCAGGGGCACCGACTCTGGACAGATCAGCCCCAAACCCAAACTCTGGCTCCGCTGATGGGAAACAGAGTCTAAGCAGGAGAGGGCCCGTGCCTGCCCACCCAGCCAGAATCCATGCAAGCTGCAGAGGAGGGGCGAGACTAGGCAGTGGGCACTTGGCATAGAATAGGGCACAGGCTGACAGCTCACCCCGTGCCCACTCAGCTCTGCTGTCAAAGATGCTGTGAGTAAAAACCAGGCCCAGCAGGTCACCACTGTCCAAGGCCAGCTTCACTGGAGGATTTGTCCCAGGCCCACTGTGTGACCTGGGCCTTTGCTGCTCTGAAAATCGCTATGGGGGAGCTGCCTGCTCTTCCCAGACTGCAGGGCACGGGTTTTCCCCCGGGACCCCTCCATCGTCCTTGCCGCTGTGCCTCTCGCCACCTCCTGAGCCTGCCCACTGGCCAGGTGCCTGTCAGCTCTGGCTCCACAGCAAAGGCACCCAGGGAGGTTTGAAAACTGCGATGCCCCATGGATGGTGGAGGTGGAGGAGGGCCCCTCGGGCAGCCACATCCTCCCTTGCTGTCGCTCCCACTCCTGCTCCAGTTGACCCTTCCCCGGATCCCACTCGTGATGCTGACTCCATTCCTGGGCTTCACAGCCGCGCCAGACCTCAGGTGGGAATGCAAAGATCACTCAAGGCTTGTGTCTCCAGAAGGAGTAGGGCCGGAGACCCCGCAGCCAAGAATTACCCCAGAGCAGGACAAGTGCTGCTCCAGGGGAGGCCCACATGCACAAAGAAGAGCTCTGGGTGCTCCTAGGAAACCGGGCGTGGGTCAGACAGCTGTGAACTCCGCCCCCTGGCAAACCCCTCGGAAAGGACACCTGAAAACACGCGATTGAAGCGGATTTGACGTGGGCCACGCGCTCCCTCTGGTGGTAACAAGGGGAACTGCGCCTCAGAAAGGAACTGTCTGAGTTGATTCGCAGAGAAATTCACCCATTCTCTCCCCAAATTCAGTTGCTCTTCGTGACTCAGTACGGGTTTGAATTGTGGAAAATTCCGAAGTGAAGTAAAAATTTCAGAGATTCCCATCCCATGTAACCTTCTGGGAAGGGAGGATAAACAGTCACCAGCATCTGGGTGGCTCTCAGCCTTCGGTGTCCTGTGGTGTCCCCTGGGGGCTGGCGCAGCTTTGGCCTTTGTGAGTCACTCCCAGGCCCACAGGCTGGGAGGACACCTTGGCCATCTGGGGTCTGAAGGACAAGGAGGGAGGCCTCGTGGCAAGGTGAGAGGGAGGCTGTGCACTGGGGTTCCTTCTCGGTAGGACAGGCTCAAAGGATCCATGCATAGAACACTCTGGAAACATGACTCCTTCCCTGGTCCTTACCGCTTCCCCCTCCAGGAAGCTTTAGGAGCTCCCCTTCCCCATTGTGCCCGCTGCCTCTGCTCATTCCTGCCTGCGTCTCTCAAGCACAAGCCCCTCTGCTACACGCAGCACCAAATTCTATTTAAGGTGCAACTACCACCTTGCATGTAGTGAGCTTACATCCAGAGGAAGCCGCCACAGACCCCTGGGTGCTGAGTTGGATGGCCAGGTGGGGCCCCTCATGGTCCTGGCCTCCCCAGGCTTTTTCTCTTCCCTCAGTTCTCCTCCACCGTAGGTGAGCAGAGGGGAGCCCCACCCCAGCTGTGGCACCAGTGTGGTGGGAAGTCACTGACTCTCTTGAGACCTTTCCCCGTCCTGTGAATGAAACTGGTCCCTTTCGCTTTCTAAGAGCTAACTCTGCTCAAGCCCTCTGCAGTTTCATGGGGGCTGGTGATCCTCCAGGCCTGGGGGCAGAGGGTGGGTCAGGAGCTTAATACCCAAGTGAAATGGGGACCCCTGATGTGCGCTGTGTGTTTCAAACTCCAGTGTCTCACCGCCTGTTCCCTCCTCCCCTCCCCAGACTCTGGTGGCGCCAGGTAGGAAGCCAGACCTCGGGTGGTGTCGTGCCCCGCCTGACCTCCAGCCTCCTGGGAGTGCTCTGTGGGAAGGGAAGCCGGGCTCCATCCTCAGTGCAGAATCTCCTGGAGGGAGCCTTCTAGAGGGAGGCTGGGCCATGGGCCCAGAGACTTGGGCGCTGGCACCATCCTGGGCCGAGGTCGCCCTGAGGGTCCTCGCCTGGAGAACAGAGGCTGGAGCAGTGGCTCAGCAGGCTCATCTCTGTCCACTCCTGGTGTGCAGTCCAGGGTGGGCAAAGCCTGCACCCAAATAGACAGGTGGGAGTGGGTCCAGCTGGGGTCCCCTGGCCTCAAGAATAGAGAGAGGGTGTCCTGACCTTAGTGCAGAGGTTGGTGGGTTTAGGGGGAAATAGGGAGAGCACTGTAGCCTGACCCTGCAGGGCACTTGCAAGGCCAGCCAAGCTCATGGACGCGGTTCCAGGTGGACAAGAGTTGGGCAGCCTCTGTGGGAACTCCTGGCTTTCCAGGGCAGCAACAGGGCCTGGGCCAGCAGCCACAGCAGGACCAGTGGTCCTGACTTTGAGCCTGTGGGCTTTTGAGCTTTGCCAGGCATCCGAAAGCCAGGCCGAAGCCTCTGCAACCCGGACTCTCTCTGTTCTGGGCCAGGGAGGAGAAGCCTGCAAACAACAACACCCAGTCTGCGTTTAGAGGCAATGAACGGGAAGACAAGTGAGACCAGGCTGCATCTGTACTCAGAGGGTGCTGCCGACACGGGAGGAGGAAGGGAGGCGGAGGGGAGGGCACAGGTGGCTCCATCCGGGGGTCACGCAGAGCCTGGTGCTGCCTTCAGCACAAGTGACGGGAACAAAGGTCCACAGCCTGGGGGAGACAGGGCCTCCTTGGCTTCCCAGCCAGCCCCGGGCACCGGCGGGCATGGCCAACTCTGGAGAGACAAGAGCAGGCTGGGGCTGGGAGGGGCCAGGCTTGGGAGCTTTCCCTCCGCCCTGCCTGGCGCACCTTCTCTGGGGCACTCTGCAGGCTCCCCGCTTGGCAATGGAGACCTCTCGCCTGGCTGATCACAGGCAACCCTAAAATTCTTTCTGGTTGCTCCCAGGTGCACCCACAAACGTACCTAGTGTTACAGCTCATTGTCACTGACTGGCCTGGGATAAGAGAAAAAGACAGGAGAGACCAGAGAGAGGGGTCAGTCCGGGAGTCCTGAGGTGGGACCCCACCGCACGGCCCCAGAGGCAAAGGCCAGGCCCGCTCCTCCTTTCTTGGCCCCCCCTCACCGCTTCCCGGGGCGCTCACCGAGGCTTCCTACTACCGCCACAGCGGAATCGTTTGCCTAGGAAAGAACAGAGAAGGAAACTTTCACTTTCATTGGCCATGGCTACTGGTTTTCCTGTCTGCCCGCCCTCCTGCCCGCACCCCTGTGGTATGGGGCTTGGAGCTTGCATCTGACTGCTTCTGTCTTTGCAAAATGCTGTGCTGTAAGCACTCAGGAGTCCAAGTCAGTAGGTCAGTCAGATGGTAGACCTGTGGTGGACGGTAGTGTGTGGACAGTGCAGCTGAGACTGGCCCTTGTGGCACCCCCAGAGCAGTGCTAGGTACGTGGCTGCTTGGTGCACGCGTAGAGAAGGATGGCCGTGAGTTCAAGCCTCAAATCCCTGCTTAGGCCCATCTGGTCCCTGCATCTAGGTGTTCAGCGACACACAGTGCTTCCCTCAAAGGGTAAATATTGGGCAGCCTGACCCTCCCTGCAGAGGAAAGTCCTCAAAGTAAGTGGTAGGACCCTGAGTGGGTCCGAATTCCAGAAGGCAGGGTTCGGGGTCCATGGTGAGTTAGCCCCTGGGGCTGGTACCAGTGGTGCTATCCTTAGCTGAGTTTGACTTTGCTTCTCAGGGGCTGTGGCCCCGCTCAGCCAGGCCTGGTTTTCCACTGTGGCAGCCCCCACCACCACCACCTTGAGCTATGGTACAGCTCAAGCCTAAGGAAAAGCCCAGATCAGGGTGGGCCACCCCCCTCAGCTGGCCCTCCCCTCTTCCCGAAAGTTCCCAGGGCCCTAGGAGCCCTTCCACCTCTTGCCAGCTCCGTTGGCCTCCTGCTGGGCACGCTTCCCCACATCTTTTGGGGCCATGGCATGGAGCACCTAAGAAGGGATGTGTCCCCCATCAGCCACCCCTCCAGCTGGAGCCAGCCCCACATACTGAGGAGGATGATGAGCCCCACGACGAAGGCCAGGCCAGCAAAGATCAGGCCTCCATTCCGGACAGTTTCATAGTCTGGGGAGAGAGAGGCCCAGAGAAGTGAGATGGCATCGCCTCTCCTTGAAACCTACCCGGCAGCAGCCCCGTGGAAACCGTGAGGGGGAAGGAGGATGCAGGTACAGGGGTGCTGGATGGGCTGCAGGGCAAGGGGGTGAGGAAGGGGTGCCGGGCTCACCGTAGTAGAAGGGGTCCACATCGCTCTTGGAGCTTCCTCCTGGGGAGAGAGCCAGGGAGGGATGAGGGGACCTCATAGACCTGCCAGAATGCCAGTCCTGCCCTTCCCAGCCACCCCGCGGGCCAAGGGGCACAGGGACACTGGTTAAGAAGGGCCCTGGGAAGGGGAGCCCAGGGCAGGTGTCCACCCCAGGCTGCCCCTTGGAAGCACAGTCTGTGCCCTGGGGAGTAGGGAGCCCTGAGGTCCCAGAGGCTCCTTCCACCCTGGAGAGGGAGCCTCACCCACAGCGGGAAAGTCCAGAAGCTCAGCTCTGCAAGACTTTGACACAACGAGGCTCCTGGAGGAGCTGAGTGGGTCTGTGAGGTAAGTGATGGATAAAACAGAGCCTTCCCGTTCATGGACCAGGAGGAGCGGCCGGTGGGAGAACTGTCCAGAGACCCAGGGGAGGCTGGAGGTAGGGCCGGGGCTCCGCTCCCTCCTGGACTCTGCTCTCTTGGGGCCCCATCAGAGGGAAGCACATTTGTTTAAGAGATGTTAGTATGTGGGGCTTGAGAGTGGCAGGCTAAAACCATCAGGACCTCAGATCATTTACCCTGCGAGGCACCGATACGGCTCCACGTCATCCCCGACAGGGCTCAGCAAGTGCAGGGCAGGCTGGGGTTTGACCGCAGCAGGAGTCTGCTGAGCTGCTGTGCTGTCTTAGGAAGGACAGCTTTCAGGCCAAAGCTGTTGGGCTCCCCTGGCTCCCTGACCCCTGCGGCTGGCAGATGGCGGATCTGCCCTCCAGACCCCCACGGTGTGTACCTGAGCCCTCAGACAGCTGGGACTTGGCCAGGCAGCTCCAGAATTGGCCCTCTTCCCTGCCCTGCTCAAGCTCCCATGGACACCAGGGACGCAGGTCGGCTGGCAGCTCCCAGGCTGTGCCCTAGGCAGCCTCTGGTCCTGGGGAGCCTTCTTGACCCCAGGGCCAGTCTCTTGGGCAGCAGTGGACAGGCCCAGAGGGAGATATGCATGCCGAGCTGAGGTACAGGCTACTCAGGAAAGCAGGGGCCAGGGAAGGTCCTGGGAACCCAGGCTGCTGTCCTCATGCAGGCCTTCAAGGCCATCTCCTGGGACTCAGGTCTCACTCAAGGTCACAAGGAGAGTTAGCGTCACAATCGCAGCTAGGATTCCCCTGTCACACCCCGAAGCCTCCTGCTTCCTGGCCACCTTGTCCAGGTCACTTATGCCTCCCCTCAGTCACTGACCCCTCTCTTCAGGGTCTGGTTGCAAAACTACCTCCGTCAGAAGATGCCCTGCAGGCCCCGGGCTCCATGAGAAGCTTTTGGGCTGTGTCCTGACCTTGGCGGGTTCCCTTGTAAATCCAGCCCTGGAAGGTGACCAGGGAAGCTGCTCCTCTGCCCGCAGGCCTGTCTAATGCCTGCTCCGGGTCAGGTGACCTAGCAGGACACTGTGGACAGGGCAGGTATGGGCCAGAAAGCTGAGAACAGAGACTCACGCGCTCCCCTCTCCCTGTCCCGGGGTGCTTCCCTTCCAGCTGCTTTCTCAGCGGTGAAGAGAGACCTTCATTCAAAAGGCACTTTTTCTTAAGAGAGGAGCCTGGCATGTGTGGGAGGGCAGGACACCCTCGCATGCAGGGGTGGTGGGAGAGGGAAGAGCTGGGCCCAGCTGCCCTTCCTAGCAAAGCTGCCCAGCTGCACACACACACATGCATGTGCACACACGCACACACGCACGCACACACACACACACACACACACACACACACACACGCAAGCTCATGCACTCACCATCACCTGTGGACAATCCCGCCATGTCCCCCGCTGCCAGGGCCTGTCTCCACTGCCCTCTTCCTGCTGCCTCTGCCTCAGGGAGGCCAGGGATGAGGGGGGCATTAAACATTAACAGTGCCAGGTAATATTTACCCTGGTCACAAGAAGGGTCAGTGTGTGTGTGGAGGGGCTGTGGCCACCACCGAGGTGCGAGGCAGTGTCTGGGAGGCTGGGATGAGAGCCCAGGCCGGGTGGCCAGCGCCTCCCAGAGGAAGTTTCCAGGGAGGGCAGGGATGGGCAGCAGTGTATGCTCCCTCCCGCGGGACAGGAGTCTCTAAATGCGTTCATTCAGTGTGTGCTCTTGGGGGAGCACGGTGCCCACCTCGCCCACCCCTACAATGCCACTGTTGCAGATGATAACTTCTGCATTCGAGGCTTCCTGAGCTGCCTGGCTGCCTGCCCTCCCACTACAGCCCCAGATTCACCCCAGCACACTGGCAGCTCCGTCTTCCTCGCCTCTCAGCCCGGGCAGGCCCTGAGCTCTCGATCCCTCCTGGCCACAAAGCCTCTCAGCTAAGTGTTTTTTCTCAGTACCCATGGGATGCATTTTCAGGTCTCCCCAGTGCCCTGGCGGCTCTCTCAGGACGGGGCCAGGGTTTATCCTGGGACAGAGCTTTGCTTTTATGGTTTACAGAGCACTTTCCTAGACTGGCATCTCCTTGACCTTGGTGTTAGCCCCCCATTTGACAGGTGAGCGTTGGGGCATGGAGCGGTTGCCAAGGTAACTCTCAGTGAATGGCAAAGAGGACACTGGCAGTCTGGCCTTTGGAGGCCACTCTGCTGTGACCTCCTTCTCCTTGGGGACTGTGGTGTGGTGCCTCATGTGTGAGTACTGCATGGTCCTCTTTGAGTTCTGGCCAGTGGAACTGACCTCTCGTGGAGGCTGGTGTCCAGTGGTAGCCAAAAGGCCAAGTGAGCAGGGTCCACAGGGAAAGTTTAGTCCTTCTCAAGGGAATCTGCTCTGATCCATGGCAGGGGACTGACATCTGCTCTGCTTGTGGTCTCTGTCAGGTTACTTAACTGTGACTCAGTCTCCTCACCTGTACAGTGGAGCAGCACCCAGCACCACGGTGACTGCTAACTTTGCAAACAGCACAGGGTGCAGCCCGGGCCACAGCCTGTCACTGTCACTACCCTACCTGTGTCAGTGAGAAGCAGCAGGCACTGACCTCGGTTTAATGTTACCTGTTGGGCACAGAAAAGCCACCAGCCACGCTCCAGGGAAACATGCATGGATGAGGGGAGGGAGATCCCCAGCCCTGCACCCTGGGACCTGCCACTGTCACTCAACCCCCTTCTTCCTTAGAGCCACGTGTGTTCCCAAAAATATGACAACAGAGCCAACCTTTAACTAAGGTGGACCATTGGCAGGGCTCCTCACCTCTCTCTGCCCATGGGAACCATACTAGCTCCATTCTACAGACAAAGAAACTGAGACTGATCATTGGCTCCCCTGGAGGGGGTTGTACTGAGATCTCCTGGACAGACCACAAAACTCGAGGGCAGGGAGGTTAAAGAACCACCTAAAATATGGTAAGAAAAACCAGAGCTGAAAAACCCCAAGGCTGTGGTACCAAAGCTACTGCAACTCTTTTTTTCTTTTGGTACCAGGGATTGAACCCATGACCTTGAGCTTGCCAGGCAGGCGCTTATGCCACCAAGCCATGTTCCCAGCCCGCTATTGTTACTCTTCCACAAAACAATGATCCAAGCCACGCTCACACACAGGTGTGATGCTGCCTTAGAGGACTGTTTCCAACTGGGTGAGCCCCACAGGCTCCTTCTGGATTAATAAGAGATGAAAAAATGGGGAAAATTAGATGGATAGATAGATAGATAATAGATAGATAGATGTAGATAGATAGATGACCAGAAGATGTTATTATCACCCCCACTAGAGAAGAAGAAGCTGAGACAGAATTGAAGGCAGCTAGAAAGTGAGGGACCAAGATCTGGACTCAGCTGCCTGCCTTGCTAGTCGAAGACGGCTGGACGGACAGACAGATGGACCGATGAGAAGGGTGCCGATGATGAGCTACTCCTCCCCGGCTGCTCAGAGCCCTCTGCAGCAGCCCAGCACCCGCTGCAGTGCCCTTGGTCAGGCCCTCCGCCCGCTCCTCTTGCTGCTTATCATGTGCTTGCAGGGAGCCCGTGGGCACACCTGAAGGTGCAGGGCTGGCCACCTGTGCCGGAGGCTCAGCCGGGAGGAAGCACGGGTCCTGGGGGACTCACCCAGGTGCCACCTGTCCATGGCAGGAGCTGCTGCTGTGTTCAGGGGTGCGAGAGTGCTGCGCAGTGCCGCTGGCAGGCCGGATGGGAAGAGTGCTGCTCCCTCCCTCCCTCCCTCCAGCCCCAGCTTTGTGGAGACAGGAAAAAACAGGCAGGGGTGGGGGTGGGGCTGGCGAGGGAGCCCATACCTGGAGCTGCCTGCCCCGCGGGTGGGGTGAGGGAGCCACGTGAGGGGGTAGGATTCTGTGACTTTCATGTGGCATCTGAGGAGAGGCAACTGGGAGCCACAGCAAAGCAGACAGCAGCCCCTGGCTGCTCCCTCTCTCCCGGGTCTCCGTGCTCCGGCCTGGGGAGGCTGCTGGATGGCCCTGGCCAAGGGGAGCCAGCAGATTCAGAGAGCTCCTGCTCTCCCTGGCTGTTGGGACGGCAGCTGAGATCACCAAGGCACTTGTGGTTCCCCTGAGCCTTTCCTCAGGGGAATGGCGCCTTTGTCCTTTGTGCTGACAGCTTGTCCTGCCTCAGGCCTCATTACACCCTGCGGATGGGCAGCAGCCCTTGGGGGTACCCTTGGTGGGGTGGGGGTGTTTCTCAGTTGGGACTGAGGGTGGGGGCCAAGCGGCAGCCTCCTGCACTGTCCAGAGATGGGGAAGGCCTGAGCCGGGGCTGCTCCCACAGCAGTGGGCCCTTCCTCCCTCCCCAGTCCCTTAGCCCTGGGGACTGGCCCAGTTGTGATGTCAGGTGTACCCACCACCCCTCCGAGGACTCGGCCAAAGACAGCGGCCGCTAATCAGGCTCCAGAGCTTGCTGGCCAGTGCTGGAGGGGAGCAGCGGAAGGCTGGGCTTCCTTTGGTCCCTGGACAGGACCCCGGAACCAACAGGAAGAGTGCTGGGGAAGCCCACCACACTGCCTCAGGGTCCCTGAGCCCTGGCCACTGCTGCTGACCCAGGGCAAGGCTACCACAAGGTCTCTGTGTGACTGACTCCGGCAGGCGGGTCTCCCTCGGGCCCCTGGAGCTGCCCTGGCGTGACCACCCTGGCGTGGATACTGACTAGCAGGGGTTGGGGCTGCTCACTTGGACAACCAGCCTCTTTGTTCCCCTCATACTTTCTTCCATCGGGGAGGACTGATGATACCCAGGGAGCCACTTGGAGCCAGATACACTCTGAAGTGAAGACCAGCTGGCCGGCCTGGAGGACTGCTCCAGGTGGCTGTGGTCCATGCTGGAGCCCTGAGTACTGGGCCTCCATGAGACAGGGATGATCCCGTCCACTGGCCGGGCCCCATGTTTCCAAGTAGAAACCTGCACATTGAGACAGCCCAGAGCTGCCAGTGGAAATTCCCCACGCTGGGCCCTGGAGTTAGGGCCAGATGGGACCTCACCAGGAAGCATTCTATCCAAACGTTCTATCAGCGGTGCTGCCAGGGGACACTGTCAGTGGGACCCCTCTTGGCCCCCATCTACAAGCTCAGCTATCCCTCCATGAGCCTGGCGCTGTGCAGGAGGCATCTTGATCTCAAATGAAGAGCATGTTAGAAGCTAACCAGAGAGGGTCCCCAAGACCCCAAGGGTCCCCAAGGCCATCAAGTCCCCAAACTTGGCAAAATGTTTCATTTCTCTATGCCAGCAATATTGCTTCTCTCAGTGGCCCCCTAGACCCCCAAGGCTCACTCCTGCCTCAGGACCTTGGCATGCACCGGTTTTCCTGCTCATAGCCTCTAGAGAGTTCCAGCTCAGCTCATGCTACGCTTGGGTCTTCCTCGGGGACTGACTGAGGTGGCCCTCCGTGGCTTCTCTGTTGAAACTGTTCACATCACCTCCTGCCACACCTCAAACTCCTTCTCAAAGCTTTCATTTTGCTCTATGGTGCTAAGTACTACTATCTGCCAAGTTAAATATTTTCCTTATCTTATTTGCTTTTCTTACAACAGGAAGACAAACTCCAGGAAAGCAAAGATTGTGTCTTCGTTTATTCCTGTACCCCACAGGGCCCCGGAGGGCCCACAGTGGACCCCAGTTTTGTTATGTGGATGAATCAGTCCCAGGGAGGTGATGTCATTGTCAGTGGCACCAGTGAGCTGGGAGCTGGCCTGAGGCAGCCCTCTTTCCATGCCACCACCTGCCCACGATGGTAGCTGGACCTGGTCTACCCTCCCACAGAGGCAGCAGGGGTCAGCTCCCCCTCCTGGCTGCCCTAGGGTCCTCCCAGGCCTTTCTCTCACCCATCTTGGACCTCATCACTGCCCTGTGCACCCCCATCCCTTGCGTCCTCTCCAGCCCTGGAGGCCGGGATGGGCTTGCAGAGGTCCCACCCCATCCCTCACTCTCGCCAAAATCTGTCCTCAGTCTTCTCCCTGGTCCTTCCCCAGCCCCCTGAGGCCATCATCAGGTCCTAGCTGGCACTGGGACAAGGAGGTCCCGTCTGAGACGCTCACCTCTCCTGCAGACTGGGTTTGGCCCCTTGTACCCATGGTCCCCAGTTCCCTGAGACAGGGTCTCCTCCTGCAGGTCTCTAAGCTCAGTGGCACCCTGAGGGCCAGACTGCCTGAGCTCGAATCCTTTCCCACTGATCCTTCCCTTCCACTGCATGGCCCTGAGGGAGAACATCTCTCCACGGTCCTTCTGCCATCTGTAAAGAGGGACAGGAGCACCTACCTTGCACAGCTGCTGGCCAAAGGTCCTAACAGGGCAGCTTCGTTCCCCTCACCACACACTGGGTCGCCAGGCAGCACGATGCTCAGGCTCACTGCAATCCCTTCACTTGGCTCAGACCCCAGTGACTGATCTTTGAAGCAGGGTCCCTGAGAGCCCCTTCACTCCCTGACCTTCAGCAGGACCTCTACCAGCCACCACCCACTGCCCCCAAGTGGCTTCTCCCCAGACAAACCGAGCAGCATGGCCTTTCGCTGCTGGGCTCTGGCCTCTGTTCTTGTTCTTCCAGTCTTCCCTGGGGAGGGAGGCCAGCTGGCACAGGACCACTCTGCTGTTCCAGAAAGGCTGCAGGGCAAGGGTAGACCCCAGCCCTTCTCCTTTGTCGGGTTGTTCCAGGATGGAACCACAGGAGCAGCCATCCATGCCTTCGGTGCCCTTCAAGACTCAGAGACCTAGGAGGTTTGGGGAGGAGACAGAGCCCCTGCCCCTGAATGGGTTTTATCACTGTCACACCCTGTGGGACAGTGCACTCTGCAACTACGCCTCAGTGCCATGCAAGCCTCCCTTTGTTACCTGATTCTGGGCCTCAGGGAAACCTGGGGCGTTAGTGGGTTGGTGGGGTCGGGACTTAACAGGCTGGGACATCCAGCTGACCTTTGTCTCCCTGTTGTTCAAGGGAAGCACTGGCATGGAGACCCTGGCCTTCCACTTTCCCAGGGTGGGATGCTCCAGCTCCATCTGCCCTGGGCTTTGTAGGGACTTCAGGTCAGCGTCCAGAACCTCAGACTTCAGGAGCCCAAAATCAATTCCTCTAGATGTTTCCTTAGGGCTGCAAAGGCACTTTGATGAAGGAGAGTCCAGAACCCCTTAGAAAGCCCTGGTCCCTGGTCAGTTCCATCCCCAGCTGCATGGCATACAAAGCCACTGGACTGAGAAGGTGGCAGCCCCCCTCGACAGCATCCAGAGGTGAACGGTGAGGAGTGCTGGCTCCTGTCTCCTGCTGTGGCCACAGACGCCAGGTCCCTGGGGACTTATAAGGCTGGTTTGGGAGGAGGTGGGCCCGGGTGGGTCCATTCCTTAAGTGGGGGCTTCAAGATGGCCCAAGTTGTAGGGCACAGAGCCCTTTCCTAGAAGCTGCCACAGGGTAATGTACTCTGAGAGTCAAAGTCACCAGCTGGTGACAAGGGCAAACCCATTTGATCCACCTCTCCCACAGTGAATACCCTGGAGAAAAATACATTCTTGACTTTGCTCAGAACACACGTCTGGCCTTGCCTGGGAACGGGAAGAGAGGCTGTTTCTCTGCAGCTGCTGCCCTTCACTCCAGTGACCACAGCCCTCTGGCAGCTCTGAGCAGCCGCTCGAGGCCTCTTCCTCCAGGGAGACGCCCGCAGCAGCCTCCAGGATTCCACGGATGTGGCTCAAGCGGGCATCCCATGGCCTTGTGCTCATGACAAACGGCAAGGTCCCTCCAGGCCTCGAGGACTCAGATTATGGTATCTATTCCGATTTCGGATCTTCACAGAGCCTGGAGCCCGGGCCTCCTCACTTGGCAGCAATCCTGTCCACTTGACGGTTTTGGAGAGTTCTAAATATCGGACCTGCTCCTTTTAGCAACTGGATCAGGCAGGCATGGTGATTTTACAGGAGAGAAAAGTGCAGATGGGGTGTGGCCACGTCAGGGACTGACCCCAGATCTCAGAGACAAAGGGTTTCCTGCTGTCAGAGAAAGAAAGAAGAGATGGGGAATGCTGGAGCCAATGTTGGCAGCACAATGTCTACAGGTAGAATTTTCAAGGTGCACTTACGCTCCGTTGCATCCCTGTGACCCAGGAAATAACAGGAAGCTCCCGATGAAGGGACTTCATAGTTGAGGACACTGGCTTGGAGCTTTCTGAGGGTCATACAGCTAACAGGAGGTCCCCCTCATGCTAAGGAGGAAGGACCCCTTGTGCAAGAAGGAAACCAATAGAGAAGCTGGGGTCTGCTGAGCTCACATTGCTGGAGCGAAGCAGGGTACGTGGGCTGGGAGGCGGGGGCCCACACCTTCCAGCCCCGCTACTTTGAGTCCTTCAGGGCATCCGGCCACAGCATCACCTGGCCTGCCATCAGCACCTTGGCAGGTGCCTACTATTGCACAACTGGCCCTGGGACTGGGGCTGGCTCCATAAAACCAGCAAGTGCTTGGCTTGAACTGGCTGATCCCCCCCCCAGCATCCACCCCCTCTATGGCTGCAATGACTCACACTACTGGCAAGAGGTGACAATTGTGCCCTGGAGACAGGTATTTCCAAAGCTGCTCCCCTGACCCTGGCAAACACACCTGACCTCTTTCTCTTGCTGGGGTGAGGTAAAGCAACAGGAACAAGATGGGGAAAACCAGACAGAGCTGGAGAGCTCTCCCACACCTGCCCGGCCACTCTGCCAGCCCACGGGTCTGGGGGAGGGGGCAAGCACCCAGTGACCTTGGGGGTGTGCTTCAGCTGGTGTTTCTCTTCCCTCTCCAGTGGCTTGTACTTTGCTTCTCTCTCCCAGGAACAACTTGGCAAGTTCTAATCTATACCATGAAAAAATAAATAAAACAAACCCCCAAAACCCAACACCAGAGAGGAGGGTCACTGCACTGGGGGCCTGGGAGGCAGACTGAGCCATCTTTATCATGGTGTGTGACAACCGTGCATACCTCCACACAAACAGACCTGAACAAAGCTGGGGCCCGTGGGAGGCAGGGGACAGCCAGGGGTGAAAGCCGCAGGACCCTTAAGGTCATTGTCGCAGATTTAGCAAACCCTTCGGGAAAGGGCAAGGATAGCTTGCCCATTCCAGCAGATTGATTCTGCCACATTAAACCAAATCATGAACCAAATCAAGCATCAGGCAGTGTCACACATTGGAGGCTGAGGGAATGCAGACCTAGGCCCGCCTTCCTGGAGCTCCTGCGCTCCTCCGGGAAGGGAGTCGGGAGTGAGCTGACCCCTGTGAAGTCCTCAGCCCAGCACATGAAGTGCTGGATGCATGTCGGCCTCTGGCATGACTGTTACCATGGTGATCATCAATTATTTTGTCCATGTGTTTTATTTCCAGGCCACTTGTTTCCTCTAGGAGCCTGCCTGGGCAGTCTGGCTAGTTTATGCTCCAAAGAGGCAGCCATGTTCCAGGAGGGGCCACACCATCCAACAGGCCACCTGTCCTCTTGAACATCAGTCTTGTCCAAGGATGGACTGGTCGTATGTCTCATAATGCCATGGAAAGCCTGGTCTATCCCGACTTGTGTCCAACAGCTGTGTGGCTGGGACCAGGCTCAAATGTATCAGAGAATCTGTAAAATGGTACTATCCTGCTATGTCAGAACAAAGCTGAGACAGCCAGGAGGAAAATCAGGTGGACGCTTAGACTCTGGCAAAATCGGGATTACCATTTTGCACATAGGCTAGAGTGCCAGCTATCATTCCGTTACAAAGCCAATGGAGTCCCCCACTGGACCTCTCTATACTTGATGTTGTGTTTCCAACATCCAGAAGAGGCACCTACTGTCTTCATTTCTGGGGCCTCTGAAGGTCTCAATTGCCTGCTGTTATGGATTAAGACCTGGTGGTCAACTTAACGCCACCTGGATTACATCAGCATGGCATTGGGCGAAGATGCTCCACCTGAGGAAAGTTGCCAGGATAAATAGGTGGAGAAGGGAGGTGTGGAGGGTTGAGGCGTTAAGGAGGCATTGTGGGTTCTCCTAGGAGTTGCTGTCTGAGCTGTTGGTTCTCCTGGAGAAGCTCTGGTCCTCACATCGAGCATTGCTTCCTGGGTCCAGAGAGGAAGACATGTGCTGCTTGGTCTCCAGGATGAACTTGTCACGCTGCTTCCTGGCACGTACCCGACTGTGCTTGTCATCGGAGGAGCTCGGGGCCTCTGTGTCGCTGAGGATGGCTGTGGTGCCTTTCAGGACAGCCCTGGTCTCTGTTGTGAGTGTGACTTCTCGGCTCCAGCGTAGAACCCTCATCCCACTAGCACAGCTCCTTCATCCTGCTGGCATGGACTTTCTGGCTTCCACCACTGACCCTTGGGTCTTCCCGGCACGGATCCGTAAGAGACTGGTGTGAGTCCTTCTTGTGGGCTCTGGACATCCAGTTGGGACTCATGGGAGGCACTGTCCTGAGCTCGGAGTTTTTATCTGGACTCATGTGGGACATTGCTGTGGGGTTTAGGCTCTTGACTAAATAATCTATGTCTTTGGTGTTACAGATAGATTTCCTGCATTTTCCTGTGTTAACTTCCGGTGACCATTATAAAAATATTATAAACTCCATGTCCTAATCCTAGTTGTTCTGTGTACAAACCCTGACTACAACACCTGCTTTGAGGCCCATGAGCTACTTGATGCAGTAAATGCTCCATGAACAATGGTTATCAGCCTGCTTACTAACCCCAGCCCACATGATCACAGGCCTGACAATGTTGAGTTTGATCTCCGCTTTAAAAATCTGTCTTTTGAGAGACCCACGTGGAGACAGAAGCAAGAACAGGGTTGGGAAAGGTCTCAAGCAGGTCCAGCGGTGGTCTGGAAGTGGCTGGACCTGGCCAAGTCAATCAGACTAAGTTCCGAGGCTCTAACACTTGAAGGATCCAGACAGGGGCTACGAAGGTTTCTTTGAGACCCTGAGATGTTCCAGGCATTCTCACCGTAGAAGTACTCCTTGCCCTTGTCCTTGAGAAACGTGTGTCTCATTACAGACACCTAAAAGACAAGGTGACGGCTGCCTCCTACTGACCTCCCAGCACAATCTACCCACAGTTGTGTTTATTTGGCCAAGGGTGCTTTTTATAAAAAGCAGCATTGGACTATTTGGGGAAGGGTGCTTTAGGTGACACCCAAGCCCCTCTTCTCATTCACAGGTGAATCACAGCAACACAACCTTCCTGGCCTCTGCAGTCTGGATCCCAGAAATAGCATTAGTGTGCAGATAATGGCAGGAACCAAGAGTGACCAGGGCATAGGAAGGAAGGGACGCCTTTCTCCTATGTCCAGGATGGCTGCCCAGAGGAGGGGGCATCTGAGTGGGCAGAAAGCAGGGTAACACTGTGAGCATAACCCAAGTGACCACGTGTGCCCCCGTTTTCAAATTCCTAGGAACAGCCTCAGACCTGGCCGGTGAGAAAAGCTGGGGCCTTTTACCCCAGCTCAGTGAGCACGGGGTCAAGCCACCGTCATCCTGTTTTTAGTACAAATGTACACGGGAGAGTTAGGAGTAGGAGAGGGAGCAATGGAGATCTGGGAGGAGGAGCCACTTCGGGAAACAGCTGAGATAAATACGCTCTCCCCTGGTGGCTCTCCAGCCCTCTCCTCTCCCAGGTGCCAAAGGCCCCACAAATACTCAAGTTCCTTTAGAGAAAAAAAGCACCTCTGAGCCACTAGGAAACAACGATGTTTTATTTCTTTCTGTTGTTGTAGTAGGAGGATAGGTCACAAGACAGACAGCAGCAGTCCTGGTCACACGGCAAGGTTTGGTTAGTTTCCACGGGAACACAATGGACAGGTGGGGCGGGACCTGGCTGGACTTTCCACTCTCTCATGGCCTTCGACTCTTGCTGTTGATCTGCAGCAGGGCCACGTGAAAGCCTGCTGGCCGCTGACCAGCAGCACAATGGCTGCTCACACCTAGCTCACCACTGACCACCGACAGAGACAGGCAGGGAGGACACCCGAGGCGCTGCTGCCGCCTGGCCAACAGGACCTGGGCAGACAAGTACGGCCCCTCCTTCTCTCCCAGCTGCCTGTCCCTGCGTGCTGACCCCAACAGAATGGGAATCCCTCAGTCGTCCACTTCTGCGGACCCAACTCCAGAGATGGGAGACAATCCAGGTGAGCTGAGCTCCAGATGGACATCTTGGGAACCGGGAAGGTGGGCGAGGTCAGGAGCATGCCAGAGCCCGTGGGTTATTGCTAAGAAGATATGCAAGGGGCACATTCCCAAGGGGCAGAGTAAAGGCCCTGGGCCTGGACCTCCCGGGTGCTCCACAAAGGGGCAGGTAGAGACTCCACGGGGGAAGCCCCAAGAAGAAAAAGAAATGTGGTCGGGCAGAGCCTGCCTGACAGCCACACTGGGCTCCCCAGCTCCTTCTCTGTTCCCCCAGTGGCTGAGGTCTTCCCAACAGGCTCGGGTCAGGATGGGACACAGGAGTAGGGTCTTCGAGAGAGGACCCAAGAGGCTCCATGAAAGGCCATGAGGAAAGTGATGCAAAGCTTCCCAGTTCCAAGAGAGGTGGGGATTCCTGCTCCACCCTAAATCAAGATAGGGGCAGCTCTCTGAGGCAAAAAGCAGACTCTGGGGAGTGGGAAGCGATGGAGGCCCCCAGAGAGGCGGGGAGGAGCCAATGGCCACTGGGCAGGGTTCCTGCCCAGGAAAGTAAATGCACAGTTCACAAATGCAACGCTATCCACAGACAAAGAGCCACACAGATCACAGTTAGCAAATACACGCGCACACAGACACACACGCACGTGCGGACACGGCCCAGGCGGTGACGAAGGTGCAGGCTGCGGGAGGGGAAGGCCTGTGCGGGCTGCATCTGTGCGCGGAGAACTGGGGTTAGCAGGGATGAAGGGGTGCAGGGGACACGTGAGTTGTTGGCTTCTCCTGGGGAAAGACCTGCGGCTGAAGTGGCCGATTTTCTTATCAACATCTGCAACTAAAGGTCAGAGCAGCTGCCCTCAGGTTCTTGAGGCTGAGGAGAGAAAGAATTTAAATAAGAACAAAGCTTTGGCTGCTTTGAGTGGCCTCATTCTGGCTCGCTCTCTTTCAGCCCAGCCATGCTGCCCACTAGAATTCCTGGGCCGCATCCCTGCAAGGACCCCTGTCCTGCTTCAGTGAGGATGGGGCTGAGGCACGGAAAGGAGATGCAGGCATGGGGGGCAGTACCTGGTCAACCCCAGACAACCCCATCAGTCGCTCAATGGCCTGGATTTAGGAAAAAGGGCCTTTTGAGAACAGCCAAGTTCAAGAAAAAGACATTTCCTTTCAGAGGCTGCTTCTTTGGAGCCCTCCAAGCCCATTCCACGCTCTCAGTGCGCCCCGCCAGCTGCCGAGGGGTGGACGGAACACGGAGCCACCAGGCAGACACTTGCCTCCTGTGACCCTCCCAGCTTAAGAGCCCCATCCCGGACGCGGGTCTCTGTAAGCCCTGCTCTGCCAGTGCAGGGGGCTGTCACGAGGGCTTAGGAAGGAACTGAGACGCTAGGCTAGTTAACATGACTACCATCACGGAGACGTTCCTCCTGCAGAGACCTCTTTTAACTTAGGGTGTGGGATAAAGTCACATAGCATATCGCATTTGAGCTCACGAAAGTCTGAATTTTGGCCCTAATTCATCCCACGGTCTGCCCTAAGTGACAAAGATAAGACAGTGTAGTGGGATGCCACTAACCTGTAGTAAGTCCCAGAAACCTGCATTCAAACCCTGTCACCTACTAATCTAAATGGCTACTTCCTCCCTCCTCACTTTCTTCAACTGTAAAACAGGTTTCAGTCCTACCTATCTGACTTAGGGCCAGCAGGACCCCAAATTCCTGCCACGCTCTGGAGACCAGTCACCAGTCACTATGCACTCTCCTAGCCCTCTAGGGTGGATGCTCAACAGTGCCCCCAGGTGCTGAGAAGTGGTAATGTCCCCTACCTCTGCAAAGGACTGCAAAGATCATAATTTTTCTCTAACAAAAAGAGGCTGTAAGGTGCTTTCTGATTCAAGATCATCCTGCGATCTGAAAGGAGTATTTCCCTAACTCTAATTCTCTCCCAAGCAATGCCTGTGGAGCAGCCAGAACAGCAACTTAGCAGCCTGTGCCTTGGGCTGGGTGGAACGGATTCTGGACGCTCACCGTGCTCACCGTCTGGACACTCGCTGCCTCTGGGACCGTGTTCCATTGTCCCTCCCACAGCCCTGAAAACCTCCTCAGAGCAGAGCTCACAATAAAGCCGCACCCCCTGTAGCCCAGGACGTCCCACCTGACGCCCTTGCCCAGACCTGATGACGGTGACAGGACAGTGGAGGACCCCGTCACAGAGCGTCTCACCTTCACTGGAGGCTGCACTTCAGTTCTCTGCTTTCTGGGGCTCCGCTGCTGGAAAGAAAACCAGAACAGACAGTTATGGGGCCCCCCCCGGGGGCCAAGGCACGCAGCCGCCACCCTGTACCTGAGGCAGGAGACTCCCGACCACAGATGTGGGTACCAATCCATGCCTGCTACTTGCTGATTACAAGAACCCGGGCTCTGAGTCTCAGTTATAATATGTGAGTAGCATCTTCTACCTCCCGGGCCAAATGCCCATGAATGACATGGGTCTGTCCCTGACCCAAAGCAGATGCTGTGTAAAAAGTCTCACTGATCGTGGCCTGTTTGGTGCAGGCAAGGGGCAGCCCCGCAGACACCTGGGCAGCCCATTCCTGACACGATGGGAGCTCATCTGGTGAGCCCTAAGGAGGCCATGGCTCCTCACGGCAGCCCCTCCCTGGCATACCCTGAGACCCTCTTTCTGGCTGGTTACCGTTTGCGGTGATGAGGTTCTCCCCCTGGGCTTCCTCGTCTCCAGGAGCTCTGTAAGAGAAGGACACAGCTGTCAGAGGTCTCCAGGGCAAACTCAGGGTCACACTCTCCTGATTGGGAGCAGGGCTGGCCATGTGGATCCATCCCTCCAGATCCTCCAAGGGGCTTGGGCACTACTTACCCCGGGTAGGTGAGGGAGAAGCTGGGGTAAAGGGGACAGGGAACTTACAGGCACTTCTAGGTTAGCCCTCTGATGACTAAGAACCGGAAGGGGACCTAGGGCCATGCAGGGGCTTGCACGTGCTCTGCATAGGATTTGGGTTTTCAAGGTTGGAAGCCACCCGTGGCTACTGTGGTGGGTGAGTGGGGTGTGACTGATGGGAACAGAAAGAGAAGCCAAGTGTCTAGCTCAGAGAGCCCCACACAGGTGAGGCACAGGGACAGCACCTCAGGGCTCTGTAGAGAGAACTGAACCTTAAGAGAGGCCACAAGGCCCTCTGCTTCCCACTCCCAAGCCCAGCCGTGACTCCAGCTTCTCCCTCACCCAACAAGAGTCCAGAGACAGTTCCAGCTCCTCCTCACCCCCCTCCCCTGCCCACTCTGGCGTCACAGGTTGGCCCTCAATGTTCTGACCTCTCCTTTGCCCTAGGGTCTCCTGGAAACCCTCAAGTTCAGAGCCCTGCCCCTACCTTCCACCAATGTACACTTGTTCCTTCTCAGACAAGAATCTAAGAGAATGGCCATTAGGGTCACATGCAGAAGCCCCTCCCTGACTGTCCTGCCGTCACCCCAGATGGCCATCGCCATGGTATTCTTACCGAGGCTTCTGATTGAAACTGCACTTGCACCTGCGACCTAAAAAGCAAAGAAACCATCAAGGTCATGGTACCAGAATAAGCTCAAGGTCATGCACCTGGCCTGGCCACAAGAGGGCTGCTCTGAGTCTGCAGTTTGAGGGACTAGGTAAATGGCACCCTTGCAAAGGTTCGTCTGAGCCCAGGGAGCACATTCAACATCTGGGATGGCTACATCAGCCCAATGCATTGAACCACGCACGTGCAAGGGCCCTGTGCAGACCAGGCTTACGTGTGGAAAACAGACACAGGGGTGCATCCCTTGGAGCACAATGGGGACAGCACCTGTTCCCTATCTCTGTGACTGTCCTATTCATGCCATATGAACACAGGACTGGACGAACCACCTGCCCATTCTTATCTGTGTGTATTTTCATCTATGATTTCCTTGATCATGCTTCACTATTTTGCCAAGCGCTCACCACGTGCTCAGCTGTGTTAGGTCCTGGTGCCAACACAGAGGACAGGGTGTCTCCTTCTCCCTTCCAGAGACAGAATGGCCAGGATATGGCACTGCCCCACCTACTTGGAGCCACCATGAACAAGGAACCAACAAACTTACTCAGAATAAGGAGGATCCCGACAGAGAAGAGGACCACAGCAAACACCAATCCCCCAATCCTCAGGGTCTGGTAGTCTGCAAAGGAACCAGGGGTGAGCAACAGAAGCCGAGCAGGCCTAAGAAGCTGCGTCTACACCCTGATCCGCCATCCCCTGCGTCCAGGGCTGCTGAGGTCACTTACCATAATAAAAAGGGTCCGTTTCTTTTTCCTGCTCAGTCGCTGCAAAAGTAAATAGGCATGATCAGGAAGAAGACAGCTGCATGTCTTGAAACAACTCACCTTACCTCCCAGATCTCAGTACCCACAAAGGGACCCCCGGGACACACTGGAGATGCACAGAGGGTAGCCTGCTGGCTCAGAGCCTGCATTACAGCACACACACAGCCACGGCCCGTTTTTATTCTTGCATCACCCCCAAAAGGCAGGTCTGTTGTCCTCTAACAGGTAGGGAAACTGAGGTCAGGAAAAGACTCATGACTTGCATAAAGCCAGAAGTAGCTACTTATGGTCTAGTCATTGGTGTGCAGTGAGTTCCAAGGTGTAGGCTGAAAGCCCACAAAGGGCCAGAACATTCTAGAAAGGACCGTGGCTGCCATCTTGAAACTCACCACTGGCCAGGACTGTGGGGACCAGCAGGCTGCAGAGAAAGATCAGCACCACCTCCATCACGCCTGTGGCAGAGGAAGGAAGGCGTTATTTTCTGGACAGGAACCACACCTCCACTCCGGGGAAAGTCAAATCCTCACCTCTCCTTTGAGTCCAAGAACACTCAAACCACTCACCGTGAAGCAGCTGACATTTACCAGGCTGTTAAAGAGTGCTCTTGGGCATTAATTGAATTAATAGCACAAAATTAGAGCCACTGGTAGGCACTATGACTATGCCATGTCACAGGACAGGAACCCGAAGCTCACAGAGGATTCAGGACACAGAGAGAGAAGCAGGGCTGAGAGCTCAGAGCAGCCCAGAAGCCCGTGGGTCACATTGCTTCTAAGGCCAAAGCCATAAGCGCACAATGACCTTATGATCACTGTGTCCTTCTGTCTGGTCCATCTTTCTGCAGTTATCTCAGGTCCTAGTTCAGTTCTCACAGCCAAGAACCCATCAGAGTTCTCCTTTGTATCAGACAGAGATAAAGCAAAGCCTACCTAGTCCAGCTAGCAATGAGGACGGACACTGGATGGTCACTTTCTCTTTGAAACCCTGACACGGGCAGGTCCCGTAAGCTGGTCCTCACACTCTGAAGCAACCAGGTCAACTCTTCCCACAAGCTTCAACTCATCGTCCCCCCCCACCAAAGGTGCCCTGATTAAACAAAGGGAATTTGTAAAGGGTTTCTACCATTAGTATCCAAGCTTCTCCTTTTCCAGCAGATGCTGGGATCTCCACTGGGGCTCATTGAGCCCTAACCTCTGAGCCAAGTACATAGCCCCAGGATGGGCTCTCTGAGTAGAGGCAAAGGGCATGGTTCACCCAGGGACAAGTCTGGGTGGTTCACTCTGCACTGCTGGGCTCATATGACAGGGGTACAGAGACAACGAAAAGGGAGGGGTACAGAGATGGGGAATGCCCAGGACTCTTCCCCATAGAGGGTGAGACTGGGTAAAGGCTGAACCCCTGAACAACTGCTTAGTGGCCTCGTGGGCTCTTTGGTCTGTGCGTGGGCACTTTCTGTGACTCCATGTCCCAAATGCACCACCCTGCGGCTTTTCACCTCCCAGCCACCAGGGGTCAGTACAACTGCATCCAGAAGCACCCAGAAGCCAGGACTCCACCGGGATTCAAACAGTGCAGAAGGCCAGAAGGCAGCCAGTGGTTTACCTGTACTGCTGTCTTACTTTAGAATTAGTTTTCTCTTAAAGTTTACGTTATATATTGTATGTATAGAAATACACAGTACCCAGGTCACAAAGCACAGTAAGAAGATAAGCACCTATGAATAAAAAAACTACAACACTACAAATACTGCATTTATTTGTATTTTTCCCCAACCCATTCCTTGCCCAGTTATTGGACACTTAGAAATATGTTAGAGCATAGTTCTTACCATTTTCAAGTTTCTGAACATTTCCAGCATGTCTCCTGATGCTAGAAACTCTGTGTCCAGTGGTCCCGCTCCACCCCTCACCCAAGGTTCCCAGTCACTAATCTACGTTTGGTCTCTGGTTTTGCCAATTTTATTTCATACGAAAACAATCATAAAATCTGTGGCTTTATGTATCTGGCATTCACACAGCATGTTAGTAAGGTTCATCTATATGATAGCACGTAGGAGTGCTTTGTTTATGGCTTTAAAATATCCCACAGTTGCACCAGGAATGATGGTTGGCATCTGTAATCCCAGCACTTGGGAGGCTGAAACAGGAGGATCACTGTGAGTTTGAGGACTGTGTGGGCTACGTAGGAAGCTTAGGGCTAGCCAAAACTACATTGCAAGACCCTGTCTCAAAAAAAAATCCATTGTATGAATATATACTAGACCTTGTTCTTCCTTTTAAAAATATACTGACATATACATGTACCTAATAATATATTGCTAGCTCTTTTTGGAGATTTGTAACTATGACATCATGTGTACAGCCTTCTGAGTATTGTTTTTTTTTCCTCAAGGTTGCTTCTAAGATCTATTTATATGAACACATATAACAGCTCATTCATTTTTAATGTTGCAATATATCCCACTGTGCAGGTATTGATCCATTCTGTCAACATGTGGTGTCTCTCCCCTCCAATTTACTGCTATTATAAATAATACACTTTATGTGTGTAGCCCAAGAAACACACCCAAGAACTCAGAGGGTACTGTTTTTGACTCTCTTGAGTACTTCTCATCAAAAATCCATTTTACGTTCCCACCCACCACAAACATATTCGTCTATCCTGGAAACACTCCATAACGCAACGTTTATTCTTATTATGAACGATGTATTCTTATTTTATATTCAACTTTGTTTTGCTTAAGAAAAAAATATAGCCAAGCTACTCGATGGGTCACTCTGCAGTTTAAAAAACGATGTTCTAAACATGAGCCTGGGAGAGAAGTCATTCGTTGGGTTGTATTATCAACGATAATTTAAAATTATTTTCCAAAGTGATTACTCTACTTTTCAAAGTGCTCACTAGTCTACAGCCTTATCAATAGTTGATATTGTTAGACGTCTTTATTTTTGTCAGTCTAGAGGTAAAAAGTAAGCTCATATTTGATGACTTCATTGAGTTGATTATGCATCTTTCACGTCTGTCCACTCTTCACGTCTGTCCAACTTAACAATGGCCCCAAAGTGCAAACAGTTTCTTCAAACAGTTGACTCCTCCTCTTACGTCTTTTGCCTTCTGGATACTAAACCTCTATTATTAAGTACTGCAAATATCTCATTAGTAGCAGCTTGTCTTTTTACGTGTTAAGGTTGTCTTGCAACGGACAGAATTTCTGAATTCTAATGTAACTGAACAGAATGAGTTTTGTGTCTTATTTAAAATATTCTTCGTTACTCTCGGGTCAGAAAAAAATTTTTTCTAAAAACTTAAAGGCTGTTCCTTTACATTTAAACCTTCGCTCAGTCCAGAGTTGATCCTAGTATGACATTTGACGGAGCAACCTAAGCCTCACTGCACTCCACGTTGATAAGCGGGATTCTCAGGCACCGTTTGCTGACCAGCCTCCCCTTTCTCATGATGTACCACAACACTTCTACTACATCTCTAGTTTCCATTTAGCTTTGTGTTTTGGGTTTTTGCTGTGGATATACCAGCCAATTTTTCTGTATAATAGCTCCCGCTTCTCCCTGGTTCCACTTTCCACAGACTCGCGTACTGCAGTCAAGTATGGTCTGAAAACACTGAATGGAAAATACAGAAATGAATGATTCATAAATTATACTGCACACAGTTCTAAGCAGCATGATGAAATTTCTTGCAGCTCCTCAAGCTGCAGCATGATTCATCCCTCTGTGCACTGTATCCACTCTGTATGTACTACCTGCCCATCAGTTGCTTAGCAGCCATCTGTGGTCTCAGAGTGACTGCATGTTATCACAGTGCTTGTGTTCCAGTAAGCTTTATTTTTTTTAACTTAACAATGGCCCCAAAGTGCAAGAGGAGTGATGCTAGCCATCACTGTTAAATATGCCAAGAAGAAGCTGTAAAATACTTACTTTAGGGGAAAAGGCAAAAGTATAGTATTTTGAGAGACAGACAAGATTTACATAGCTATTACAGTACAGATGTAGTTGCTTTACCATTATTGTTAATGTTATTCTGCCTAACTGAACTTAAACTTTATCATAGGTTTGTATGCATGAATATAGAAAAAACAGCCTATATATGGGCTCAGTGCTACCTGGCTTCACACATTAGATTCCTCCTGGGGTCTCGCAATGTTTCTCCCACGGACAGAAGGGGATTGCTGGGCTTGTATTAAAGGCACAGTCCCTCTGTCTCAATTACTATGCTTTACAGTAATCCTGCCATGAAGTAGAAGACCGCATCTGTTTTTTCTCCTCTTCTTTCAGGAATGTATTCATTATTCTCAGGCTTTTGTTCTAACAAATTTTTAAATCTACCTGTCAAAATCATCTAATGCCAATGGGATTTTCATGAGAATTGCCATGGATCTATCTACTGAACATGTGAAAACCTGACGTTTCTGATCTTCAGTCTGCTGCTTATAAAGAAATATTTTCAGTTTTTAAAAAATCTTTTCAATGTTCTCTAAGTTTCATAACTGCTTTTATATGTCTGGAGTACATCTTCTGTTGATTCATTCACAAGTATCTTATTTGCATTAGGATTTTAAACATTTCCTTATATACTTCCTAATTTTGCTAATAAAGAGAAAAGCAATTAGTTTGTATGTATTCATAAATCCAATCATCTTACAAAACTCTTTATTTCTAAGATATCTTTGGGTGTTCTCTAGACACATCACTTGTAAATGATATACTACTGTTTCCTCTTTTCTCTAATACACTGTTTATCTGCATTCCTCATCTTAGTGTACTAAGACTTCAATGATGAACACACTTGAACACTCATGTAGAAGCGCACACATCCTGGTTTACTATTAATTTTAGATGGTGATCTTCTAACACTCTGAGAGCTCCTCTAACCCTGGCTTTCCAAGAGGTTTCTGGTTTTCTATTAATTATAAGTAATTACTCCACAGCTATGTGTTTCCTCTTTCATCTACCAAGGAAATAAATTCTATGTGGATGATACAGGGTGGCTTTGGCTGGCTGACATTTTGCTTAGAGTTTTGCATTTATGTGTGTGAGTGAGGTCAGGCTGCAAATTTATTTTACTGTCCTGAGCTCGCCTTGTTTTGATATGGACAGTGAATTGAATGTGTCTCTAAAAGTTCGCGGATTGGAATCTTAGCTCTCGAAGTCGTATGTTAGTGATAGTTGGAAACAAGGCCTCTGAAAGGTAAGTAGGGTTAGATGAAATCACATGGGCAGGAGAGAGAGAGACACTCGCATCCTGTCTCTTATGATGCTCTGTACCATTTTTTGAGGCAGCACAAAGGCCCTCACCAGAAGCTGACGCCACACTTATGGATCTCCCAGCCTCCAAATCCAAGAACTAAACAAGTCTTTATTCTTCACAAATTATCCAATCTCAAGTATTTTGTCACAGTAACAAAAAATTGATTAAAGGAGTTTTGTAGTACCGG